TGCGTAAGTGGGGCCAAAAAAAAACCCAATCCAAACAAAAGAAATTGCATGAGAAAGGCACGGAGGCAAGGGCTTGTAAGATAGCAGTGGAAGGCCACGGAAGTTTGAACAAGAAGAGTCAAGGTGAATATGCCAGAGAATTAGGCTGAGGCAGGTGAAACATGAAGGGCAAAACATGGAGAACCTGGAACACCACTGCTGGGACAGCCATCATCTGCTGAGTGTTTCTGACCGAAAATGAATTTTGAGGAGGATCACCTTAGAAGCGTTACTGAAGGGGGTCTTGAAAGCAAGGACACTAGAAAGAAAGAATTACAACAGCTGGGGCCTCAGATGGCATGGCTCTGCAGAAGGCTGCAGGGGATGGCAGAAATGTAAAAGATCCAGCCTCAAGGAGAAAACGGAGAACTGGAATGACTCAGCAAGATGTGAGACACGTACAGTGAAGAGCAGAAAAAGACTAAAGGACAACTCCAAGACAGGGCAGGGCGCCTGAGGAGCTCAGGACACGATCTCAGGGTCATGAGTTTGAGCCCTACCCTGAGCATGGAGCCTACTTTAAAAAATAAAAATAAAAAAAGAAACATGAAGGGCAGGGAGTCTATTCAAGGTAAAGAAGCTAAGCAATAATGCCTATTTAAAAGGAAAATGTAGGCTGGGGGACAAGAGTGAGGAGTTCTGTTCCCAAATATCAAATTATGTAGGTAACTGACCCATAGGGTGGGAAATAATTAAAGTACTGAAATACAGAAGGTAAGTGTAAATAATCAAAACATAAATAGAAGCAAATACAGAAAAAATACTGGATAAAACCAAGACATGGAGATTATTTTCAGTGGAGAAAAAAGACCAATAAAGAAAAGCTAAAAATTAGGAGGAAAATGATCAAAAAAGATCCCACAAGCCAAAGAAAAGAATTCCTGAGATGCAGGGTCCCTACTCAACAGTGCGAAATATAGGTCAAGGACAAGGGGCGCCTGGGGTGGCTCAGTCAGTTAAGCGTCCAACTCTTGCTTTCGGCTCAGGTCATGATCTCAAGTTTCTTGAGTTTGAGGCCCACATTGGACTCCCTGCTGACAGTGCACAGCCTGCTTGGGATTCTCTCTCTCTGCCCCTCTCCTGCTCATATGCTCGCTTTCTCTCTCTCTCAAAAACAAAACAAAACAGGACAAGAACTTAGAAAAGGCATTGATATTTGTCCATAGGACACTTCAGTGGCATGCTGAGCACATAAGCCAATAAGAAGTTTTAAGAATATATTAATGAGAAAATAGGGTTGAACAATGGATGACATGTTTGAAAGATCATGAATGACAAGAAAAACAGAATGGCAGCTGGATATGGGCAGTGAAGTGGAAGGTTTTCCACATTTTACGCTGTAGGTAAACTTAACTACTGTCATCCCAACGGACCATATGCCTGGCTGGGTGCATGGGTATTTTTCATTTCCCCCCACAATTCTACTTCCTTGGGGCAGTTTAGAGAAATGTACTCGAATCTGTACCTTATTGCTTTATCCTGCCAGTTACTCTTTTAAACATGCTTTACTTGTACAATTTAGCTTTCTAATACTACAAAGCATCAAAAGTATCAGCATTTAAAGATACAATCATCAATCAAAATGACATTTTCAATCAACTGCACTACACAGCGCTGTACCACTATGCATTCCCTTCCCCAGTAGCTACCTATCTTATGGCCAGGGACACTGGATTTTCCAATGGCTGGCCAGGGCCAGTGTGCTCATTAGAGACAATACAGCACAGTGGTCAGCAGCACAGCCTCCAGAATCTGACACTGTTGGGCAGAGCCCCTGCTCTGTCATTTCCCAGCTACATGACCTTGGTCAACTCACTCACTTCTCTAAGCTTATTTCCTCATCTATAAAATGTAAGATATAATGTGTGTCATAACCATGAGAAACACTTAGCATAGAGCTTGGCACACAGTACATACTTAATAAATGTCAGCTATTACTATTTCGAGTCTCAGAACCAAGAGTAAAGCTAACTGCCGTGTATGGCAATCATCCACCACATTCTAGCACTGCCACTTGCTCAATGGAGTAAACCTTTGAAGCCTAAGACGCCTCTCCTAGGACTATGTTGGATGGCAGCAGAGTGACAGAAGAACCACTTTATCATGCCAGGTCCTAAAATGAGAAGATCACGATGGGAGAAGGTATTGGTGAACAGTTCATTTCAGATCAAGAGCATAAAAATAGAATCTGCAGGATATAAAGGAATTTAGCACACATCACTCACAGTTAAGAGCTCAAAATAACGTCATAAAGATGGAGCAACCACATTCTGGTGCAGAGTGATTAGCGGAGACCAAGAATGGACTTCTATGTGTGCCCCAGATAAACAACAGCCTTTTCTACCTTCTTACACCATGTGGCTATTTCTGGATGCGGCTGAACCGGCTTCAATAGTTCCTTCAGGTCACAGTCTGTCCTTATTCTTTCCAGCAGAACACTGATCTTTCAGGGCACATCTTTCCTCTGAATTCTGCCAGATGCTTAGTAATTATGGATTTAATGCATAGCATGGCTACACATTACTGTAGTAAAGAGACGTTAGCTGGTGTGCCTACAGTCATTTCAACACGTTACTCTAAGAGCCCTCACTGGACAAGTGCTCCCCTCAACCGCCTGGGAGACTGTGCACGTGTGCACGTATCTTCCCTCGGACAGTGACTCCATCCTGTAAGACCCGCATGTGGGCAGCACTGGCCTCAGGCAGAGTTCGTGTCTTACAGAGGGTACACAGAGAACAAGGATCTAGAGTCCAGATTTATTCCTGGTGTCTTGAAATTTCAAGTACAAGAGAATGAGGAATGGAATTCCCTTCAAGTGCAAGGGAATCTATAGTCCAAAAAAAAAAAAAAAAAAAAAAAAAAAAAAAAAAAAGGACAGTAAGAAAATAAAGGATAATGGAAAGCACTATTTGGAAAAAGTTAACCAAGGAGGGGTGCCTGGGTGGCTCAGTCGGCTAATTGTCTGACTTCTGATTTCAGCTCAGGTCATAATCTCATAGTTCAGGAGTTCAAGTCCTGCACTGGGCTCTGCATTGGCAGTGCTGAGCCTGCTTGGGATTCTCTCTCTCTCAAAATAAATAAACTTAAAAAAAAAAAAAAAAAAAGAAAATAGAAACAGTTAACCAAGGAAACCAAGCATGACCTATGACAGGTGGGTATCAATGGCTCAATGAAATAGGTATAACAACCTTGATGTTGTCAGTGGTCAGGGTGGGCCACAGCAGGATACAGAAGGGATTTTATAGGGAAGGAATTTATGATATAAAAGTTGGACCTTTACAATGAAAGATTTTACGACTGGTTTTTAAAAACACCAATCTTAAAATAACATGATTAGTAAGTGCTGTCCCTGTTCAGGTCAGTGTGAAGTTGTGTAAATTCTCCTGGCGTTTTCTTCAGAATGTGTAGCATATTCTTCGGCATAGGATTAATGGAATCAATTCCCGTTTTGAAAGCTGACTTTGGAAAAAAAGCCAAAAATGACTCAACTCCAAGTCTGGTGAACAAGTGGGTAATGGTCAAAAACGAGATACTATTCAAGACTAGAAGTCTTCCAAATGTTGGGAGGAGTGGTAGTGCTACAGCAACAACCCGGACCGCCAAATTTAAAGGGCAGACCATGTTCGGATGCACAGGTTCTGGTGTGCTGCTTAAAACAGCCTTGTTACTTTATACAATATCCCCTGGTATATGGAAAGCCTCAAAGGAGAAAGACAGTGCCCGGTAATGAGTTAATATTGTGTTTCCGCTAGCTTACAGACGAATTCCGAACAGTGAGGAACTGTGGGGTGAGGTATTTGACAGATCACCGCTGTGCATTTATAAAGCTAATGGCAAGAGACAGATGGAGAATGAAGGGTGAGGTGCTAAGGCCATATAAGGAAGGGGGACGAACGCAATGACAGCAGTGACAGACCATCCAGTCAGGGGTTTGTGCAGACTGACAGGAACCTGAGAGGGCAGGACTGTAATGGGCCAGAAGGGATGAGTGCACGTTCTTTGTAAGGATTTTAGGTCTTCAAGCACCTGTCTCCCCTTTCGCCCACGCGATGCTATAACTGGAACAGTGTCCACACCTCTGTGCACCACGGCATACAGTGGGAAGGTGGAAAAGAGAGCCGGAAGTCACCCAAAGGTACAACCACCCAAGCTCGAGAGCAGCCAGACTGAGTCTCCACTCACCTCCTTCTCTGCTTCACTCCCACAAACATCACTTCTTTTGCTGACACAGCTGCTGGGGGTGGGGGTGGTGGAGGACACGTATGGATGCTCAGTGACTCAGAGGAGTCAGTGAAGGTGATATATGAAGAAAAATGCTGGAGTGCTGTTAAAAATATAGCATTCTGAGTTTGCGTGGGAATACGGTTTTCCACTATCAGGAACGTTGGAATAAAATAACACGCACACTTAAGCATAAATACATTATGTGTCTGTAAAAATTTCCCTAGAACTAGGTTCTTAGAAAGCTAAATACAAATATAAGTCTCACAGGGAGGCTGCTTCAAACTCTAAAGTAGCTTCTCAGATCAGATCAGGATAACAAGTGCGCCTGCCGGGGAATCAGTGGGGGAAGGAGATCACAGGAGATGGGAAGAAGCAGAGGAACCGGGAGGAGCCTCTCTCACACCTACAGCTACTCACCCGAAAGACAAAATTAAGTGCCTCCACCACCAGCCACTTGCTCAGATGCTATTGTGTTTCTAAAGGATGCATTAGGCCACCAGGAGCTCCACTCCATCAGACACCTCCTAAGACAGTCAAGCTGATCCACCTGCATCAAGGAACCGGCCCAAACTACTGAAGAGCTATTCAAACTCTGCCACCGCTATCGATTCTGATCCTACGTTAAGGTTGTAGTGATGACAAAGTTTCTGGCTTTTTACTTGCACTGAAAGACCTCTCACCAGCATGTGGATTCTCTAATTCTGAATAATGCCCACACTAGGACTGTAGTTTTTTCCCTAAACTCCTGCGGATTCAGATTTTTCTCCACTGTGGATTCTCTGATGCCGAATGAGACTTGACCTCTGAATAAAGGCTTTCCCACACTCATTACATTGATAGGGCTTCTCCCCTGTGTGAATTCTCAGATGCTGTATGAGGCCAGTGTTCCCATTGAAGGCTTTCCCACATTCTTTACATTTATAGGGTCTTTCTCCAGTGTGGATTCTCTGATGTTCAATCAGGCCTGACTTCTGACTGAAGGCCCTCCCACACTCATTGCATTTGTAGGGTTTCTCCCCAGTGTGGCTTCTCTGATGGCCAATGAGGTGTGAGCTCCGCCTGAAGGTTTTCCCACACTCCTCACACTCATAGGGCTTCTCCCCTGTGTGGATTCTCTGATGTCCAATGAGGTGAGAGCTATGACTGAAAGCTTTCCCACACTCATTACATTCATAGGGTCTCTCCCCACTGTGGATTCTCTGGTGCAGAATGAGGCCTGCACTCTGACTGAAAGCCTTCCCACACTGATTGCACTGATATGGCTTCTCCCCAGTATGAATTCTCTGGTGCAGGATCAGGCCTGTGTTTTGACTGAAGGCTTTACCACACTCCTTACAGTGATAGCGTTTTACTTTGTTGTGGATATCCTGATGGGAAAGAAGGGCTGACCTATAACTGAAGGCTTTCCCACACACGTTACATTGATAGGGTTTCTCCCCAGTGTGGATTCTCCAGTGGCGAACAAGGCCTGAGCTCTGGGCAAAGCTCTTCCCACATTCGTCACATTTATGCCGTCTCTCCTGGGTGGGATTTCCCCGCTGCCTCTCTAATCTGCCCAGAAGATCTCGGGCTTCTCCACGCTCATGACCCCCGATAACATCCCCGTTGCATTTCGCAGCTGTCTCTCCATGTGGTTGGATTCCAGTAGATATTACCTGTTTCGAAGCTAATTCCCTGTTCTCACTCCTGGTCTCACCACCTGAAATTAAAATGTGATAAACATCAAGCCAATGTCACTTTCTATTCTCCATGTTAGAAAGGAATAGAATATAAGGGAAAAGGAAAACACACATGGAAGAACTACCAGCAATCACACAGCTTCCATCTGTCTCCAAGCTGCTATCATAATACAGGGAGATGAGAACAGGGCCAAGCAGAAGTACCACAAGCCAAATGGGGAAGAAGTGCCATGAACAAGGAGGGTTGTTGGGAGGCACGAAGGCAGGGAAGGGACCACCTGAGGGGCAGCTGGGGAGTGGGTAGGAATACAGACGTAGTGAATGACCTAACAGGACAGAAATGGGAAAAGCCCTGGCACTGACAGGGAGGAGCACGACAGGCCCGAAAGTCCCACAGGGCTGGGAGCAGAGGACTCCCACTGGCAGACAGAACAGTACCCACAGTAAGCCCTGGATCAGAGAATAAAAGTCCGTGGGCCAGCACTGTTTCTCTCTGTTAGTTCCTGAGTTTAAACTTAAGAATGTCTTTCAGACACCTCACAGCTACCATCACATAACAAACAAAAAAAAAACCTTAAATGATGACAATAACCAGAGCTCTCCTTACCCAGGGAGAACATGTTTCTGTAATTTTCTGGCCTGTCATCTCTATGCAGATCCTTCTGTGATGGATCAAGAAGCCACTCCTCTCGAATTAGGGACACAGCCATGTCTTCGATCTTCTCCAAAGTCTGAAACAAAACAAAATCCCCATGTGGGACTGGCACTGTTCCATGGCTCAAACCCAGACTGTCAGAGGTCCGCCAGTGCTGGGGAGGATCAAGGGGTGGGAACACACTGTGTAAAGGGATGTAACTAAGCGGGGGACAAAGAGGAAAACGCACCAGATTTGGTGGGGGAAATCAAGAATCATGCAGAAACATCTGGGGCAAGTTCCTGGTGAGTACTGCTACAGAGAGCCCGGGCACGTGGCAGATGCCACCGGTGCTGCAAAGCAGATCTAGAAGCAGTACAACTCACCTGCAGCCCTGCTGTGAGAAGTGTGGCCGTCATCTCCTGGTTCCCAGGACTTCCTTTCTGGGAAGAGGCAGGACTCTCACAAGTAGAGATGGCTGAGAGGAGAAAGAAGCGAGGAGTGAGACCACCCTGTCCCACAGTTGCAGGAGTCAGCACTAACCCATTCCAAAGCTGTCTGCATTTCAGAAGATATGCATGTCAGAGATTTTGCACAAGAAGTGCTGAGCGGCCCCTGGCTGCCTCAGTACGTGCAGCATGTGGCTCCAGATCTCGGGGTCATGAGTTTGAGTATAGAGTATAGAGACTGCTTAAATAAACATTTAAAACATTAAAATGAAACATAAAATGAAATAATATAAAATATAAAAAATCAAATCAAATCAAATCTGGTATCTTGGGCTCTGGGCCCACACTAATGGCTGCCCACAGGACATCTGCACTTTGATGTCCCACTCAGCCTGAAATTCCGTGTCGAAAATAGAGTGCTGGTTTCCTAACAGGAACTGCTTTTCAATTTCTTCTCTACCACCAAAACTACGTTCTATCCTTGTGCTTGTGTACAGCATTTCTTCAGGTCTTCATGTCTTGGCAAATGGAATATGAGAGCCAACAGAACCAATCTGCCTCTATTAACTCTATTACCTTCCTGAAATGTCCACCATGACTGCCACTATCTGCTTCCCATAGGTATCAGACAGTGCAACACCAATAAACAGACTACTGTGTTTTGGGTAATACGCTTTAGAACTTTAGACAAGAATTATATAACTAACTGAAACTGTTCCTATGTTTCTTCTTTAGGAATGTTAAAAACCCATTTATATAGAATGGCTATAAAACACATAAATGAAAAAAGAAACGCAGAGTAAATACAAGATGACACTAGAATGGTCTTGTTCTGCAAGAAGTTCTCAAAAAAACGATAGGGAAGTGTCAAAAGGACACAGGAGCCAGACTGAAGGGGGCCTCCTCTGAACAAATCTGAGACAATTTAAGCATCAAAATAAACACAATAATAAAATAAAGATAACTAAAGATACTTTATTTCTGGAATAAAGTAAGAATTTAGGAGTCCATACTGACATATAAAATAAAATGGGGAGGGAACACTCTTTATTACAAGTAAGTGTAGAAGGAATGACATAGTTAGAAAATCATCAGTTTGTAAGTCTTAGTAATCACCGATTCAATCAAGAAGCAACAATGAATATTAAAACTAGTATTTTAGCAACAAAAGTTTGATGTGGACCAAATACTTACACAGACTCAAGAGTACTTCCCCCACAAATTACTTATTTATCACAAAGGGAAAAATAGTAACCACAATGATTACCTTAGCAAAAATAAGCCTTTTTTAAAAAAAAAAAACGCGTATTTATTTTGAGAGAGAGAGAGAGAGTGTGCGCCAGCGGGAAAGCAGCAGAGAGGAGGAGAGAGAATCCCAGGCAGACTCTGCTGTCAGCGCAGAGCCCGATGCGGGACTCAAATTCATTAACTGTAAGATCATGACCTGAGCCGAGATCAAGAGTTGGACATTTAACCCACTGAGCCGCCAGGTGCCCCAAACCTAACCAAGAATAACCTTAACCAAGTCATCAAAGGTACCAACACCAATAACAGGACAATTTCCTGTTGTAATGCTGAGAAGGATACAACAGTACTTTTGGGGAGTTCCTGACACATATGCACAACTTGAATTTACTCGTAAGGAAACATCACACGAACCCAAATTTTACAGCTATTCTATAAAATAACCAACCTGTACTCTCAAAAATGTCAAGGTCATGAAGGGCAAAGAAAGGCCAAGAAACTATTTTGAATTAAAGGAGTCTATAGAGACAAAACAACTGACTGCAAAATGGAATCTTGGATTAGATTCTGGAAGATTACTGGGACAACTGACAAAACATGTATATGAACTATGGACCAGATTAGTACAGTATCAGCATTACACTTCCTAATTGTGATGCATTTATTGTGGCTATCAAAGAAAGTGCTCTTGCTTGAAGAATTATATACTGAAATAATTATAAATAAAGTGGCATGATGATACCAGCAAAACCTCAAAACGCCTATGTTGTTAATACATTGAGGTAACATGGGTTGGTCAGTGGGCTGAATGTCCAACTCTTGATTTCAGCTCAGGTCATGATCCCAGGGTCATGGGATCAAGCCCCATGTCCAGGCTCGAGGTGTGGAGCTGGCCTGAGATTCTCTCTCTACTTCTCCCTCTGACCCTGCCCAGCTCATGCTCTCACGTGTACATGCATTTGCTAGCACATCCTCCCCTCCCCACCACTTGTTAAGCACCCAACTCTGGTTTCTGGTTTTGGCTCACGTCATGATCCTGTTAGTGGGACCAAGTGAGATTCTCTCTCTCTGCCCCTCCCACCTCCCAACATGCACATGCTCTCTCCCTCTCTCTCTCTCAAAATACATACATAAACTTAAAAAAAAAAACAAAAAACATTGGGAAGGCACCTGGATGGCTCAGTTGGTTGAGCATCCAACCTCAGCTCAGGTCATGCTCTCACAGCTCATGAGTTTGAGTCCCATCTCAGGCTCTCTGCTGTCGGCTGCAGAGCCTGCTTCAGATCCTCTGTCCCCCTTTCTCTCTCTGCACCTCCCCTGCTCACTTTCTTTCTCTCAAGAATAAATACATTTAAAAATTAAATTAAATTAAAATTACAAAAAATATACTGGGATAACAGAAATGTGTGAATATAGAAGAATCCCCAAATTCTTTGATTTGTTCTTGAACTTACCAATGGGACTGACAATCTATATTTGAAGCCTAGATAAACACTTAAACTCAGATCTTAGGACTGGTCTGTACACAAAAATTCTAGTTCCTGGTTCTCCAGGAACTCAACAGGTACTTTCTTTTCTATTCCTCCCTCTCATCAATGAAATCTGGTTCCTTACCTTTCTCTTGTGACCCTTGGGACACCGGAGATTTGTGCTGCATTGCCATGGGTCGGAGCTGAGTATTTGGAAGCCCTGGTGTAGACTCTGAATGTACGACCTCCTCCCAGAGTCCATGTCCATGTGCACGGGCTGGGACCTGAAAACAACAGGGCAGCTGCATTACAAGAAATTCCTTTGCGAGAGGAAGTGAACAACATAAAACAATCAAGAAGAGCTCATCTCTAGGGACACATGCTTGGGAAAGGAGGAAGCAGAATCTCACTTACTTCCTAGAGGCAGTAAGAACACAAATGTGTTGATTAGCGCAGAAAGGCATCATTTCTGATGCCCTTCCTACCATTTTGCACTCCCAAGGCATGGGAAGCCTGATAAACAGAAACTTGGAGCAGTTATTCAACAGAAAAAACTTTTGGTAACAAACCAGGAAACCTTAGTTCTGGTCTCAGATCTACCTTTAATTATGAGTGTCCAAAGTCACTGAAGTAATTCAAGCTCCCTGCATACCAGTTTCCCACTTGGCAAAGATCATTGCAAGGATGTTGAGGATAAAAAACGTACACATATCCTTTACAAAAATAAAAAGGACTCTACAAATATGAGCCATACCGCACTAGAACTATTTTTATCCTCCCAAACAGAAATCGACACCCAGCATTCATTCCACTGCTGCGGTGCTGGTGTCTATCACCCAGCTTCCACACACCGTGGGCACAGCATGCACACATCCATCTACTTACTGGCCGTCCTAATATATCAATCTGTCTTTCCAAATCCTCCAGCAGGGTCACCACCTCCTCTCCGTTCTCTAGCTGATGTTCCTTAACCAGAGTCTGAAGCTCCTCAGGCAGGATGGTCAAGAACTGTTCTAGCACTAATAACTCCAAGATCTGCTCCTTGGTGTTCAAATCTGGCCTTAGCCACTGATGGCAGAGTGCGCGGAGTTGGATCAGAGCTTCTCGGGGTCCTAATGTCTCCTGGTAGCATAACTTCCTGAAACGCAGACGGAATAACTCCTGGCCAGGAGGATTATTTTCATGCAGACTAGATTCCTGGTCCCAGCCATGATCTTCCTCTACCTTGACAATTACAAGGTCTTCTTCAGGAGCTTGGTCTGGTGGGGATGAAGCTGACAACTTTCTTGATTCTGCTGCCATTTAGGGCTGGAAAAACTCAGGAGGCTCGTTTCCACTACCTTCTTCTATCTTCGTAAGAAGAACCTTCCAAAGGCCTCTTCTCTAAGGGCAATTCTTGGAGAAGAGAAATCGTCAAACAATATTAAAGCAAATCAAAGGTCATAGTCATTTACTAAGACATCTTAACAAGTTCCTACCACAACACAGACTTCAGGGCTTGGTCATTTAAGTGATCCTCTCCACTGTTCCAGAAGTAACACCTTACCTCCTTAGCTTTCTGCCATGCCAAATCCATCTGGGGAATATTCCCTTCCTTCTGCTTCCTCTCCTTGGGGATGGGGAATATGGCAAAACAAAGTTAGGAAACCACGTAGACTGGGTCTAATTGAAGTTCTGCATTTAACCTCAGCTGGTCTTCACTGATGCTGATTTAACCTTCAGTATTTGCAACTCTAGCTATACTGTTTCTACACACTTCAACTCTCAACCTATCCCTTGTGCTCAACAGACCTTTCTTTCTTTCTTTTTCTTTCTTTCCTTCCTTCTTTTTTTCTTCCTTTCCCTTCTTTCCTTCCTTCTTTCTTTCTTGACAGAGAGAGAGGAGTCGGGGAGGGGGAAGAGAGAGAGAGAGAGGGAGGGAGGAAGAGAAGCGGGGCTCATCCAAAGTGGGGCTCAAGCTCACCTGAAGCAGGGCTCAAGCTCACCCAATGTGGCACTCGAACTATGAGATCATGACCTGAACTTAAGGATTGAACCACCCAGGCACCCCAACAGACATACATTTCTACACAATCTAGCTCAAGCTATTGTCCAGAATTCCTAACACCAAAGTCTTCTCCACCTAATGTCCATTATCCTTCTGTGCTCTCCATCTTCCCTCCTATGTCAAAGCCAACTACTTCTCCCATGGACCTTATCTCACTCTACAACTCTTTGGAGCACTGGTTGCTACCTTTCCAGGAACCTAAATGCCCCATCTACACACACTAACAACCTCCAGAATGTTTTATAGATAGAATCATACAGTAGGTATCCTTCTGAGTCTGGCATCTTTCCCTTGGCATAATACATATGAGGTCATCAATGTTGTGTGTACCAGTATTTTATTCCTTATGGAGATGTATGTTTATCTGTTCCCTAGTTGAGAGGTATCTCAACTCATTTTCAGTATTTGACGATTACAAATAAAGGCACGATGAACATTTACATTTGAGGTTTGTGTAAACATGTTCTCATTTCATTTGGGTAAATATCTAAAGTAAAACTGATGGATCACATGGCAGGTGTATGTATAACTTTATAAGAAACTGTAAAACTTTTTTTTTTTAATGTTTATTTATTTTTGAGAGAGCATGAGCAGGGGAGGGGTGAAGAGAGAGGGGAGGACAGAGGATCCAAACCAGGCTCCATGCTGACAGCAGAGTCCAAAACTGTTTTCTAAAGTGCCTACAACACTTTGCATTCCACTGGCTGTATGTGAGAACTGGTTCTCTCTATCCTAACAAGCAGCATTTGATATGGTTTTATTTTTAATTTTAGATATTCTAACAAGTATGTAATGGTATCTCATTATGGTTTAATTAATTAGTTTATTTTTTAACCACTCCCTGATATCTCACTATGGTCTTTTTTTTTTTTTTTTAAATGTTTATTTTTGAGAGAGAGAGAGCACACGCCACAGATTCTGAAGCAGGCTCCAGGCTCTGAGCTGTTAGCACAGAGCCTGATGTGGGGCTCGAACCCACGAACCACGAGATCATGACCTGAGCTGAAGTTGGTTGCTTAACTGACTGAGCCACCCAGATGCCTATTCACTATGGTCTAAATTTGCATCTTCCTTCTAATTCTGTAAAGCATCCTTTCACCTGTTTGTCTACCATCCATATTATCGTCTCTGGTGAAGTTATCTGCTCAAAACTTTTGCCTGTTTTAAAAATAAACTTCTTTATTATTGAGTTTTGAGAATTCCTTACCTATCTTGGACACCAAGACCATTATGATATATATGATGTGCAAATATTTCCTCCTCTTCATTCCTTTAACAGTGCCTTTCCAAGAACACAAATCCATATCTTTTCTGAAGTCTAATTTGTCATTTTTTTTCTTTTAGGGATTGTGCTTTTGGTGTCATACCTAAGAAATTTTTGCTTAACTCACAGTCGCAAAGATTTTCTCCTGTTTTCTTCTAAAACTTCTATAGTTTTACGTTTTACCATAGGTCTATGATCCATCTTGACTTAATTTTTTTAAGTAATCTCCGCACCCAACCTGGGGCTTAAAATCATGACCCCGAGACCAAGAATCACACACTCCACCTACTGAGCCAGCCAGGCATCCCAAATTTTGAGTTAATTTTTGTACAGAATTTGAGTTGTGGATGGAGTTTAATTTTTTGGAACATAGCTACCAAATTGTTCCAGCACCTTCAAAAAGATTACCCCTTTACCAACTGAATTATCTTTACATCTTTGTCAAAAATCAATTGACCACGTATGTGTGGGTTTATTTCTGTAATCTGTATTCTGGTCCATTGACCTATATGTTTACCCTTTTCCCCAAACAAAATTGTCTTGATTATTGCAGCTTTAAAATATTAAAACCAAATATTAAGAGTCCTGCAACTTGTTGCAATATTTTCAAAATTGTTTTGACTTTAAGTTTATTTATTTTGAGAGAGACAGAGACAGCGTGAGTGGGGTTGGGGCAGAGAGAGAGGGAGAGAGAATCCCAAGCAGGCTCCACACTGTCAGCAGAGAGCTTGATGCAGGGCTCAAACCCACCAAACTGTGAGATCGTGAGCTGAGCCAAAACCAAGAGTCAGACGCTTAACCCACTCAGCCACCCAGGAGCCTCTGTTTTTCTTTTTTTTAAAAAAAAAATTTTTTTTTTCAACGTTTATTTATTTTTGGGACAGAGAGAGATAGAGCATGAACGAGGGAGGGACAGAGAGAGAGGGAGACACAGAATCGGAAACAGGCTCCAGGCTCTGAGCCATCAGCCCAGAGCCTGACGCGGGGCTCGAACTCACGGACCGCGAGATTGTGACCCGGCTGAAGTCGGACGCTTAACCGACTGCGCCACCCAGGCGCCCCTGTTTTTTCTAATTCCATGGTCTTTTGATACAAATTCCTACCAACCCTCTCTCCCGGAACTGGATTTGTGCTGGATCTATATAGCTCACTGACATTTTAATATCCATTCTATAAACACACTCTATCTCTCCATTTAAGTCTTCTCCAATTTCTTTCATTAGTGCCCCAAATACCTATTCTTAAAGGAACAGACAGAATATTTTCTCCTTTAAAATCTTTTCTTGGAGCACCTGGCTGCCTCAGGCAGAAAAGCATAGAACTCTTGATCTCAGAGTCATGAGTTCAAGTGCCACGTTGGGTGTAGAGCTTACTTTAAATGAGTAATTTTCCTACAGTTATGTATTATTAGTGGCAAAGGAGTTTTGACTTCCTAACTTAATTGTATGTTCTCTATAAGTAAAGATCTGTATCTTTTACTTTATTGATAGAATCAAAGATCATTCAAGGGCTATTATTCATAATATCTAACACGGAAGGTATCTGTCTTTGTTTAAGAGCAAGATTTAGATACGAAACCTATAGATCTAAAGACTTTATTAAAGGGTCCTATTTCTTTGTGGGTATGTCTATGGCCTTTAGCTTTGGTAGCAGACATCACTTCTTGCCTGTACTTGCAGTGGTTAAGTGGTCTTCCTGCCTTTGGCTATTCTTTTCTCTCATTCATGTTCCCCACAGCTGCCTGTTGTGGGTTGAACTGTGTCCTCCCAAAAGACATGCTGAGGTCCTAACCTCTGATACCTGCGAATGTGACCTTATTTGGAAATAGGGTCTTTGCAGATGTAATTAAGTTAAGATAAGGTTATACTGGAGTAGAGTAAGCCCTTAATACAACATGACTGGTGTTCTTTTAGGAAAGTAAGAGACACAGAGACTGAGATATACAAAGAGAGAGCCATGTGAAGACACAGACAAAGAAGAGAGCTGTGAGGCCACAGACGCAGAGGTAAGGAGTTATGCAGCCACAAGCCAAGGAATGCCTGTAACAACCAGAAAGTCGGTGAACGTGGCTCTGCCAACATCTTTTTTTTTTTAAGTTTTTTTTTCTTCTGTTTATTTTATTTTTGAGAGAGAGGGCACAAGTGGGGAAGGGACAGAGAGGAGAGGGGACAGAGGATCCAAAGCAGGCTCTGCTCTGACAGCAGAGAGCGCAATGTGGGGCTTGAACCCATGAACCACGAAATCATGACCTGAGCCAAAGTCAGACGTTTAACCAACTTAGCGCCCCCAGGCGCCCCTGCCAACATCTTGACTTTGGACTTTTAGCCTCCATAACTATGAAAGAATAAATTTCTGCTGTGCTAAGCCACCCAGCTTGTGCTACTTTGTTATAATATGTTACCCTATAAAATTAACACCTTTCTAGAAAGACTTTTAATAAATATGTAATATAACTCATCACTTTAAAATCTTTTGAAAGGGAACCCACCTCTTCAGCATGATATGCAATGGCCTTTATGGTATGTAAACCTGCTTACCTTTATCTACTATAAGCTCACCTTCACATACCTATTCCAAATGTGGCTTTCTTTAAAAAAAAAAAAAAAATTTTTTTTTTTAATGTTTATTTTATTTATTTTTGAGAGACAGAGAGAGACCGCACAAGTGGGACAGGGCAGAGAGAGAGAGAGAGAGAGAGAGAGAGAGAGAGAGA